TAAATGAATTAGGTTTTATAAAATTCAAAGTATATCTAAACACATGGATGTTTCACAAGACAAACATTCATAAACGTATGATCATAGAATATTATGAAATCACGTAATGGCGTGAATATGAATATTATGACACATGCGAGTGCCATAAACTTCATACAAGTGTATTAATAGTCATTACAACAGTCCCATATAGTACTTCCTCGATAATCCATGAAAACTATTAGAAGTTGAACTTAGATGTAATTTCTACATTTTCTCGTACTTCTGGCACTTATTTTCATGTCTTATTCACACCCGTTCATCATTTTAATATTTTACTCGGTCGTTATTGTTTACTGATACATAGCTGACAATCGTTGCAATTGAATAAAATATTTACTACAATGATTAAAAATGCTTAATTAGTTCTCAATATTTGGTTTGCAAACATCGCTGTAATTGATTGACAACATGAACTATAATGAAGCTGTATCGCAATAACTAACTTTGTAAAATGAGCTATGTCTAATAAGGGAACTACTCAGTGAGAAAAAGAAATTGATTAACGCATTCATTTGATGAGATCTATACTACGAGAATGTCTGGATGTAGGTGAGAGGAGGCTTTCGGGTTCAAATATTCCCTTTTCTTAATAGATAATCAAGGAGATGGTTTGCGCTCGTCTTTCTCTGTATAGGGAATGGAAGGTTTATCATAAAAGATGAATGGTAAATGAATCATTTTGAAAAGAATTTTGTACAGAATGGATTCGTGACTGTTGCTGTTTTAGTGGATTTTCCGCTAGATTTAGCGGAGAAAAATATTTCGCAAATAGCAGAACAATAAGCGGATTTTACAAAATTGTAGGGGATATTCATAGGAATTCATGAAAACGGGACACTTGTAACAATTAGTGCTTTCATACTGGATTGGAGAAGGTGAAGGTTTTTAAGATGAACATCATAAAAACGAAAAGGTGAACATCGCAACAGAATGATATCACCAATGCAAATTTACCACACGATCTGGACTACGAAGGAATGGTAAATGTAGCCCCAATTACACATTCCAAAACTTGGATTTATAATAAATGAAATCGAGAACTGATAATGAAATTGTGAGTAAAAAGATGTAATAAAAGTTATCATTTTAATTCAAATATACCAAATCATTTACATAGTATGTGTTTAAAACAAAAATTGCAATTTTAGCGGAATTTCATATTATTCTGGCGAAAAATAAGGAATTATGTATATTAAAAAGAGTAGCCGATATAGATCGGCCATGTCTCATTAGTTTATTAGTAGAAATCTCTTTTGTGAGTGTTCCTCCAACAGCAATAATTTACCGTTTGCACAGTAACCCTCCCTATTGCAATAGTCTTATGTCCGAATCTCCCGAAATGTGAATCATCAACCGAAAAGGAGATGAGTAAATACGCGAATCGCTGTGCGTCCGTCACACCCGCATGCGAGTCAACAAGCACCTGCTTCCCGACGCTTCATCGCGTTCACGGTTTCCGAGAACATTAGTCATCTTTTGTGGAAATAATCACTTAACAGAAATGCAAGTTTTTCGCTCTGAATATTTGAGGAGCGCATTGACCTCTACGGGTACTTAGAAAATCCAAGAGCTTCTCGGGATAATGATGTGTAAATAGGTAGTTTTCGTATTTCTAGTCTTTCATTATTTTTCCTCAATATGTCCTCACTCATAACCTAAAGTCGGATGACTAACCGGATCTCACCTTCCAAAATGGTGGAGTACCGCCATCTCCCGGGTTATAACATGCCCGACACGCGCGGAACTAAAGCTCAAAGAAGTTGAGGAGATCGAATCTTACACGCTTGCAAGACTCCGGCCGAACTGCGAGTAGGGTAATGAACTGCATAGATTTGGGCTGCAATCGAAGTATTTTCATCAATTTTAAACTTTGTAATTAAGATATCTGAAATTCACGACCATACTATTAATTCTAAGAATAGTTAATAGATAATAGATAATAAATGTTGCATTTATACTGTTACATCATTACACTGTTACTACATAGGTAATGTAATATATAATTTTGTTGATATTTTTTGTTATTTACACATTCTATCCAACTTTGTAACTTACCTACGTAGTAAGTGTAATTGTATGTCTCATAGCCCTGAGGAGGAAACACGCCAACAAACCAGGAGTTTCGAAACGTCAAACTAGGAGTTTAATTAAGTTATCAACGCTCATTAACTATTCGTGGAATCGTATTGCACTGTCAACGGATAACCAATCCAATTGAGATTAACCCGTCGAAGCATAGAGGTTATGCAAGACTGCCAGGCTCCCAACCATCTTCCTTTCCGTACTGCAGTTCCACTCTTCCGTGTGCTGTTTATGTTGCCTCAATTTAGGAAGCCCGGAAAACTCACGCTTCCGGACATGATTGGTGTTAAAACACGCGCGACAGCTTGTCAACTCTCTGAAACATGACTTCCTCGAACAGAGGTGAGGGCTACAAGCATTTTTCCTGCTGAAGTTTTTGGATGCGAATGAATTCGATCTAGCTGTTTGGCGAGTGCCGAAAATCCTGCAACCGGCAAAACTAACTCTATGACCTTCCGGTCAGAGACACTGCAGTGACCAAATGACGCGCTTAGTGTCACGTAAGCCAGTGAAACATTTCAAATTACCGTGAGAAGGAAAGGAGGATAGTTGCGCTTAGCTCATCGTTTTATTTCGTTCGTGGCTTCTCCTGGGGTTCAAAGTCGTTATTCTACCACAACAGGGAAATTTCAACAGCAAGTTGATTACATAACCATTTTCATGTCTATTTAACTTTCATAAATAATGTGCAGTAATGTATACTTTAAAAAATATTCTGCACTTCCACAATTGCATCATAAGTTTAAAAAAAATAAAATCACGAGTCGTGATGCTGGTAAACTCAAAATACTCGCATACATTCAAAATGAATTTTATTTTTCACATTTACAAATATTTTCTTTGGGACATAGTAAAGACTTTTTGCAGCCCACTAAAACGAAGATCATCCTTTGGAATCATATTCGTTCGTGGTCGAAGAGTAGTTTTCGTTCAGCTTTACACAATTTTATGAAGCACTGAAGTGAGCCAAAATAATATAATGTCAAATAATATTTCAGCGCAGTTTAGTGGTTGGATGATTTGTTTTTTAAGAGCACGTCAGTTGTGCACTCTTTAGTTGGCGGATTACTACATGCATAGTGGCACGTCTACTGCTATTGTCATTAATCCAGTAGATATAGTGCATGTTTTCATCACGTGATGTGGCAATGTTCTTACCCACCCAGGAAAGCAAGATCCTCCTCCGGGATATTCCCCATTCAGGTAACTCCCACGAGCGGAGCATCGTCCTCCAGCCGGGACCAGCTCTACGCCCCCACTGGTCTCGCGACGTGAGTGGTAGCGCAGTGCGTGTAAATGTGAGAGTCTACGTGAGGGCGGAGGTTAGGACGACGAAGAGAAAGGAAAGACCGCGTGTGGGCCGTGGCCTGTTTTTTGGGTACGAAGGGTACCAGCTAGGGCTCCGGCATCCGGAGAAATCACGTAAAACTCGCGTACAGAGCAGAATTGAAACGGTTATTTTATAAACTCCGTAAGTCATTCTCTTTTGAGTTTTTGCTTTTTGTGAGAAAAAAGAAGTTGCAAAATAGATTCATCGTTTCATGTGTAAATCCCGTAAATCAGATGAATAGAATGGCCATGAGAACACAGCAAATTTTGGTTTGGTGTGTTTTAAGTCATTGTCTTGCGGGGTATGTATGACTATGTATGTATGTATGTATGTATGTATGTATGTATGTATGTATACAGTGTGTACGACCAGGATAACAGTTGGTTAAAAGGGATGTTCAATACGAAAATATTCCTACGTACTATTATAGAAACACGAATTTCAAGCTACCTATTCTGTCATATGAATTATGTTTGATGTAGATGTACATTTTCATTTCACATAATATTGTAATAAACGTGTCAAATTACAAACTGAACCTGCAAAGTGCATTTCTTTACATGTATAGGTAATTATTCGTGATTACTTTTTGAAATGGCGTATGTCATAAACTTTTAAATAAGTCAAGCGACTATTGTATTATTAATCCAAGAAAATTACATGTCTCCATGGCATTCTCAATCAATATATATATATTGCACATTAATGACATTTTAATGGTGAGGTCACCATTAAAATTCCCCTACGGTCGGACATAAAATTTTCTAGGCCCCAAATAGTCGAGACCCATGATAGATAAAGTGAGGGTCACCTCTGTCTATACGAAGGTGCTTCGCAAAGCAACGGCAACTTTTAAATTACGTCTCCTCTGCCATCTTGCAGCACACGGACGTGTCCGCACGTGACCTGAGTTGGGCACGCTCCGCGCCACGGACCGCCCTCGCCGCCACACAAGTGGTCATTGCGATCGTGTCGACATGCTCGAGTTGCCCCGCTGGAAGCGATACGCGGGAGGGAAAACCCGGCCAGCCGACGTGGAGGCCGGCGTCGGATTTCACAATCCAGTGGGAGAAGAACACCGCCACCGCTCACGACGAAAGCAGGCACCACACTTACGAGGCTAAACACCTTAGCAGAGGACCTCACATGTAAAATCAAAAAATTGTGGGGCCGAAATCAGGGACACACAACTTTGATATCCACATTGCTGTATAGTTGCTTACAGTGTGTTAACGCTGTACCGCCCTCATTTTGATTGGATGTTTTAAAGCATTAAAACTGGTCCACGCTGAGTTTGATTAGTACACACACGCCTAATTATCTTTACAACCTTCACTTCAATGACAGAAAAAAGTTCTAAACGTATTCTAAAAGCACTAAACATTTGGAGGCACTGAGAAAATCTTGCTTAATCTCTCTGGAACGTTTGTTGTTGTTATAATTATTTACTATTAAAAAAAGAATGAGGAGGCACCGAATGAAGCTAACTTTGCAACTCACGACCAAAAGCCATTTACAGGGTTGTGTCGCTTTTGTGGCTTCGCAGAGCATGCCGCCCACGCAGGAGACGTCTCCGTCGCCGCCGCTGGAGCAGAGCCTCAAGGCCAGCGTGAAGCTCTCGCGCTGCGACCTGCAGTACCTCCAGGAGTGGCTCACGAAGCAGCCGCACTTGCCTCCCTTGACAGGTGAGCCCACGACCCGGGAGCGAAATGGCTTCCCTTGTCGCAGACACAAACATGCGCTCACTCACACCCAACAACCATGACTTCGCACATAATGCAATACATTATGTGCAAATTACCATATAATGCACAGATTTCCGGTTTTCGTAAGAAGTACCATATTTGTGCTAATTACTATTTTTTCTTGTAAACGTTTAATATTCCTCATATTTATATCTATTTCTTTTATTCTCTAAATTTTACTTCATACTTAAAATTATGTTTTCAATATCTATTGTATTTACATACGCAATTGTATCTAATGTGGATTTTCTGAAACAGAATTACGCAAGATATTCATTTCGAGATCACGATAGTTTCGAGTAATACGTGCCGCCTAATAAATCTTAAAAGTTGGTAACGCTGATTAAGACTTAAACACATCTTGTATTGCCTACAATCTAATATGTCACAGAAGGTCATCGCCCACAAACATTAATGAAACAACGGAAACAGATCCTTTTGTTTATACTTTCATAAGACATATTTCCAATGCTTTTATTGAACAAAAGCGTACATATTTAATGCATTATGAGAGGATAGAACTCCGGTCCCTACCCATGACGGAATATCCGTTGGAGCTAATGAAAGTAACGAGAAACAAGCACAATCTGCACGGTCGGAACATACGCACGACCACTTGTCTTGATTACCAAAGCTACGTCCAGTCATGCCATTTTTTCCAATGCACGAACATTTTGTAATGAATATTGATTCTCTCCCATCGTTCTGCAATTTGTACGCACGAGTGTAATCTATGCAAGCCCTACATCTATGGTACCTACTTTTTAATGTTGCCAGTTCTGGAACATATTAACTTATGGTTATTTTCCGGTGTCAAAAATCTCATTTTCTTACCCACGCTACTATAAAAACATTACAGGAGAGGAAGCATAATGTATCTTCGAGCATTCCCTCAACTATCGTCACAAATAGCTGACGAATTTCGTGTGAAAAAGAATTTATATATGAGTTTAAACTCTTTCCTTTCATTTATTATTATAATTTCAACATTAACAATAAGAGTATTTTTGTAAGTGTAATCTGAATAAAATCCAGCTTAAACAGTCTCTGGCTCATTATAATGGTTGCCAAAGTTTCCACAAAAATAAAAATAAAAATAAAAATAGTTATTCATTTTAATGACTTCGAAATACAAAGCGTTTAAACAAAATTGTTTTAAAACAAAATTTGACGATACATTTAGTAAATCCGTTCGGCAATGACTTTATATGACATATTTTGTCAAATAAAGTGATTGCAATATCGAAAGGCTCAATGAATTTTCGAAGAATTTTTTACTTCTAAGTGCCTTTTTTTCAACCTCTACTTTTAAACTGCATATTTTAGGTGTGCAGTGAATTTGGTTGTGGTAGGGATGATACTTTTTCTATTCTTCCGTCTCTCTTTACACTGGAGGAGATAAGTTTTAGATTATTTTTTTGTTTGTTCGTTGATTTTTAAAATTTAAAAGATTGAATAAAAAACACGTAAGCCAAATGATTTAGTGCATTATTCACTCTCCGTAGTTTAAGGAAAGCATGAAGATGTCTTTGAAAACTCCTTTGCTATTTATTTAGAAATTGGCACGATTCAATTCAGATGTCCATACAAACTACAAATATTTGATTTGATTTATTAAGTAAAAAATACAATAAAAACTGTATGTGACGTATGGGGGTAAAAACCGTACACCGCATTTGCGCACGTTTTCTTGAGTTCCAGAATCCCTTCCTATCAGTTTCACTATAAATACCTGAAAGATGAGTAAAAGATAAAAGCGCTGAAAAGAACTTTTTGCTTATGACGAAAAGAAATGCACGGGTTTGTTTAGTGCTTGTACGGGAAAGTCGTTTCCATTATAAAAAAAAACAAAACTTTTTTGCTTCAATAACACAGATGTAGGAGAGATTCAATGAAGATCAACATTTGCCTTGCGATCAACATATCAACTTCGATATTTTAATAAAACCGGACTTTCACGATATTTACAAAAGGACTTCGATCTAAGCAAGAAATTTAAAGAAAAAATTTAGAAAATGCAGTCAGTTTGTATTAAGATCCGTAAAAATAAAAAGGATATTACAATTCACAAACCCTAAAATGAAGTCATTGCAATAGGAAAATATCAATTTTGGAAAATATTTTGAGTACCATCTCGGCGATCGTGTTGTTTGCACGGCAAAAGTGTTTAAACATTTCATTATTTAATTAAATATATTTTAATTCCAGTATCAGAAAATCATTAAATTATCTTGGTACCGCCGAAATACCATATATATGTTGAATTTGGTTTGAAATTGTGATAAAGAGTGAAATTTACTTTTTAATTCTTTGCATATGTAGTACAGAGAAATTAATGCCGAGAATTGAAAGGAAATCTCTATTTAGGAAGATTTTGGTACCGAAAAAGTGTTTGGTTTTGTTGCGTTTTGTTTTCAAAACGGCCCACTCCGACCGTTCGAATGAACACTAGCGCCCAAACCGTTCGCAGCATTTTTACCAAAACGAATATTTCGTGATCGATCTAGCTGATGGCACAGCCCCTCGAATTTTAAACGGATATTTTAATTTTTGAGGCAACTTTACACGCAGCCGTAATGACTGTTTTTTGAATGTTTCATATATTCAATTCTGAAGCTAGCTACTTCTTTCTTAATACAATCTAATCCTCGATATTAGGCCTTTAAACCAATTACTGTACAGTTTTTTCATATTTGAGTGCTTTGTCTCACGTGATTAATTTTCGTATTGCGGACATTTTTATACATTATTGAATTTGTGAATGGACGTACTTCAAGTGATTTCCGATGGGGTTTCTCGAAAAATCAAATTTTAAAGCGAAAATGAGTTCATAATAGCGCATTTTCAAAAAAGCTTAAACATTTTCTTAAAAACGTCTCCAATTTCTTCAACGAAAAGTTTCATGACTACATTTTATTCTTCTATAATATTTTTGAAGTCATATCAGTTCTACCATTGTGAGGACGAAAAATTGAAAAAAAATAACATTTGCCGAAATAGTTGATAGCGAAAGACGCTGGAGAAAAACCGAAAAGCTAGCCCAAACTAAAACAGATTAGTACGAGAAAGCCAGTGCCATTCTGTGGAACCACTAGTGCAATGTTCGCGGATGAATTTTTAGATACGCTACACGTCTGGCTTTCTGGCCGTAATTGCCAGAAACACTAAAAGAGGAAAGGAGTCTCAGCTTAATAATTTAGAAGTTTTGTGAATGATTTAAGTATCCTGCTGCTGTCTTAGCCTATAAGCAGTCAAGCGTGAGAAGGTAACTATAAAAACATGACTCAATAACGATTAATATCTTCATGCAGCAAGCATTTCTTATCAAAATTTTGGAATGGAAAAATAAACTGTAGTTCTATTATCCGATTAAAATATAAGTGGAATTGACGTTTGATGAGCTGGGATGCGCTTACCCAATCGTAAACTTCCTTACGAATTAATGTTTTAAATTGAAGCTCCTGATTAGATATCGCGTCTCAGATGATCAAACATCAATTCCACTACCATTTTAACCCACTAATACTATTTTTCTTTATTGGAGAATGAACAATGCTTACGGATTCTGATTATTATAATTACTGTTACCGTTGCTTGGTGATTCAGTCTGCTTTGAGGGTATATTTCATCCACCTGTGATCGTAGTTGTGCAAAATAAAATGCATATTGTTCAAAGTAGTTATATTAAATGGTTCATGTTTATTGGTTAAATATAGGAAGAGGTAATGAACAATGTTGCTTTTGGCATGTTCTCCCACGTAGTTCGCCAAGAAATGAAACACTTCGCCTTAAGAGAAAGAAACTTACGTGAGGAACGCGACCTTGTGGTACCCCCTCCCGAAACCAGTTCTGATTGGAAGACGACGCGACACGACGCAAAACTTCACGAAGCAGTCAGGGCCAACGAAAGATTTCTGTGGAATCCTGCGGACGCTAATTATGAGTCGCATTTTAATCTCAATATATAATTATTGCCACGTTAAATTAGGCTACGCACATTCCTTGACGGAAAGTCATTTGAACATTTTTAATGGGTTTTGTATAGTTAGCAATCTCTAGACAATCGATTTTTATAACTAAATTCTTATTAGGGCCCGCGAGGTTAGGGCAATAAAAGGTTGGTTTTTAACTTTCTCGCTCTTACGTACGTAAGAAGAGAAAGTATAGCAATTTTCGAATCGTTGAAAACGGAGAATTTGAATAACGTTAATATTTCAAGACTACAAAATTGAAGAATGATATTTTTACGTTAAAATGTGTTATAAAAAAATCAAAAATTTAAATAAGGCCATGTACATTTTTTTTTAAAAGCAAATAGTTTTTACGTAATTTCTGGTTAATTTAATTTTAAATTTAAAAAAGAACGTTTTCTTAAAAATCTCCAAACTTTTTTCTTTAAACTTTTTCTATGGATAAAACTAAAGACACTCAAAAGAATGCTGAAGGTCTCATGTTCGTTGATTTCTCTGAATTTTCGAAAATTGTTATTCTCTACGTCCACTATGCATTGTAGATGGCTTTCTGATTATTCAAGGGCTTCAGCTGATTTTGTAAGGCCATTTAAATCGCAAAATCCGGTTGACACCGAAATAGTTGTACTGGTCCTTTTTGAAAATAAAAGGCGCGATCAAGAATACAATTTTTACACTTATTTCTACTGAACTCTTTTTTAGCGCTGATAGGCGCCGTAAAGTGTCTAGTGTAAACTTTGTATATTTCTATTAATTTAGCTGTCAAATTTGTGTGTATAATCAGGGTAAATGACCTTTTTGAACTGTCAATAGTTATCTCCAAACTTCAAGGATCCAAATGGTTTTGAGTCAAAGCACGATATCTTCAATTTCTCCCATAATGGGTGATGACCAAAGTACACTATTATCACAAATACGAAGTCAGTAATATGAGGCGTTCAGTAATCACGACGCAACGCACTTAAAAATAGCATCGTTTCACTCACGATACTACGAGTATTTCACACTTTGGTGAGATCTAATCGCGCGTTTCACCGAGCACAGCCGAAAAACGCCGAACAGCCGAGATTCTTCGACCTTAGCGATGAGTTGCAGCGCTCTCGCGTGCAATACAATACGAACCGCTCCGCTGCTGCCGGCTGTTTTGTCTCCTATGCTCTCGCTCCGATGCACTAATACCAGTGATTCCCACGCGACCTCGTTGTTTTACGGCTATACCTCGTCTATTTCTTCACTGATACCGCCATAAACAAAAGCCACGTAGTCCAGAACAGATTCCTCAGAATAGTCACGAACGCCAAGTGTTCATTTCAAATCTACATCTCCATAAAGAATTAAACATGAACTCGATCACCCAATAGCTCGCGTATCTATCAACTGCTACTCCAACACAAACCCAATAGATCAACTAAATCAATATACTTTTGCCTGAACGTACACACACAAACCAGAATTAAACAACAGATACCCCTTCGATTCCTTCCTAAAACTTATATCAAGCAATTGTAAATAGTAGGTTCTGTAATGAGGTATCTACCCCAATTGTAGTAGAAATAATATAACTAGGTTTAGCATAGTTTTAAGTTACTAGTAAGTCAACAATACATATGAAGGAGTGCATATTGATCTATGAAAAAAATACTGATACCGTTTAAATATGTGTATTTCTAATTACATTTCCATGTATTATTCAATACATTGTAATATACTTGTATGTACGTACAATTCATCAATTCAAATATTTAAATTTTATTTTTATTATTTTGCTTGGTGCCGACCTGAACGGCCGACGTGTCTAGGAGCATATACTGACTCAACGCTTCGGTCCGAAGGGTCGCGGGTTCAAGTCCCGCCGTGAGCATGAGTGTTCCTTATTCTCTCATGTATGAACGTGTTGTCACAGAGGGCCTTACGTTCTGCTGACCTCCAGATCAGAGGAGCCGCCAGGTGTGGTTGTGTCTAGTGTGTGGTGGAGTATACTTTCCATCGGGATGTAACGGGTAGTCGGCTGGAAAAAGTTCTAGGAAAAACACTTTTGCTTGGTCATCAGCGAATCTATTCATGACCGGACGCCTCGCCTCTAAGAAATCTTTTCACGTATACATTGTGACGAAAATAGGCATTATGAACAAATGCAGATGACAGCATTAATTCCGACTGAAATTACAGTTTTGAAGTCGTGTAGAAAACATTTACCTTTCTAACAACGTATAATACTTATATATATTGAATAATATTAATAGAGTAAACGTACACAATACAATTGATGCAATAATAGAATAAAGATTATTTATTGTGAGACATCCTGCCCTAGCAAAACACAAGCATCACACTTTAGAACATCTACATTAACATAACAAAGAAATAACATACATCAGACACACCACGACCATGAAACATTAAGTTGTGCTGATATCTAAAGCCAAGTTCTTTCAACAAATTTATTTTATTTTTCAGAGACGGAGCTGGTTCCCTTTTTGCACAGTAACGATTACAGCCTGGAGAAAACAAAGACGTGCATTGACAAGTACTTCACAATGCGTACGCACGCTCCAGAATTCTTTCAGTCTTTCGATATCAACAAACAAATATGTAAAGATCAACTTAGTCTTCAGTAAGTATTTAAATATTAAAATTATACTGAACTAATTATTAAAATATTGAAGTGTCGATGCATGTAATAAGAAAAAATATATTAATTGCAGTATACTCGGGGGTTAGGAGTTAATGCCTTATTCTACATGACAAGAATTGGACCATCAGAAACACTGTTCCGTCTGACCACGCGAATTTCGCTACGCTCCTTTCACCCACTAGCGGAGAAACAGGGTGTTACTCGGACGACGAAACAGGCGATTTGAATTTAACTCAGAGGCTTCTTTTAGGCTTGAGAATCTTTAACATGCAGTGGTTCTACAACATGGGACATTCAGGTTCACTTCCCCTTGGTTTCTGATACTTTATGGCAATAAGTAGTACTGTGGATATGAAAATACCATGAATGATTTACATTAGCAGAAAATGTGATTTTTACAAAACGTCTGTTTAGGTTGAACTCCCTTCTCCGACCATTTTACGAAAAATAGAATACATCACGTAATAAATTACTTCATCTATCGCGTTGTGTAGTCCTTGATATGGAAAAACTGATTGACGGCAAAACGCCTGACTGACTCTAGCTGACTGCTTGACTCAACGCAAGCACCTAAATCGTTGAGATAATTTCCTCCAAATCAGCTACGCCCACCAGCTACGCCCACCAGCTAAGCCCCCAAGCTACGCCCCTAAGCTACGCCCACCAGCTACGCCCCTAAGCTACGCCCCCGGCTAATCCCACCTGTTACGCCCATTAGATACGCCCTCATGCTCTGCCCGTCGGCTCCACCCACCGGTTACGCCTGGCACGCTAAAAAAGCAGGGAATAAAGAAAAACGTCGTGATGTAACGAAGGGGCACGTTCTAATTCATTTTTTACAATGATATTAAAAAGCATTCGATAAAAACAAACAACTTAGAAATACTCAATCGTAGGTGAATAATTGGAAAAATATTAGGAAAAACAAAATAACTGTTAGGAAGAGGTAGGAAAACATACATTTTGTTTCTTAAATTGTTATAAATAAAGAACAAATTTATTGAAGACGTTTTTTGAAGACCGACAAAATAGTTACCTTTTCATTATTGTGAAATTATTCCAAATATTTGTCACTCATTCTTTTTACCAGAGTTCTGTATCACTTGCAAATCAAATACCTTTTTTTTAAACAGAAGTATATGAAAAATTTTCATTTTTCCCCCTGAATTGTATGTTTGTTTTTTTTTATTTTATATTATCCGTATATTTACATTTTATGTTTTATTACAAATGTTTTATTTTTGGGTGTTCTTGAAATGTTTAACCAAAACGAACTTTATTAATGTTGTACTTTCGTTATCATTTCTTCACAGTCATTACGTCCTGCTCCCGAAGAGAGATTCACAAGGCAACCGTATCATCTGTTCGGCGTTCTACAACAAGGACGCTACGCTCTTCGACTTCGATGCGACCACCGCCGTGGTTTACGCGTATCTGGATGTGATCATCAGAGAGGAACCCACTTGCCCTGGATATGTGTTTGTTCTCAACTCGGGAAACACTACTTTTGCACACGTGTCCAAAACCAACGTATCGTCCTTGTGCAAAAGTTTGACCTATTTCCAGGTAAATCAGAACAATCGTTGCCGGAAAATGTTTCTAAAATGTATTGAAAATATTTTTAAAATGTATTGCAATGCAATTTAAATAGTGGAATGCAACTTAAATGACGAATTAGCAAATGAACGCGGATATTTCTCCTGGAGCATCGCGTAATTGCAATTCTTTCGCACCAATTCGTCGGTCGTGGAATAGATTCGCCAGTACTTGATAATGAACGGTTTTACTATACTTTTTTTCAATCATTTGCTTGGCTTTTCTGAAATCCAATTCTGGGTGAAAAGCCTACAAAGCAAAATAAAAAAGCTGGTTTGGGGCTATTTGAAATTACTGAACAACGGTGATGTCAAAGTGTCAACAATATGACCGAGTATACAACAGTACGCTACAGTGCCACAAATGTGCAACCTTGCATCACTGCTGAAATCCAATACATACAAAGAATAACAATGACAGACACGAAGTGACGACAATGTTGCATTTACAAGTTTATCGCCCTGATCGCATTTAGACCGTTGTAAAAAGAATGAATTTCACTCAAAGTAGTCAATTGAAATAAAATCATATATTTTGTCAAATTAATGTCAAGAGTATTCGCAGTATGGTCAGTTGTTTTGCGAAAGATAATATGTTGTGAAAGGAATATCTTGACTGGCAAATGTACAAGAAATACGTTTTGTTTTCTTTGAGTTTCCAAAACAACTAATCAAGTTTCCGAGTCAATATTCTAAATTTAAAGTTTTAGTTGATCGTAAGTTTATGGTGGCACCAGAGCAGCACCTTCGATTCCTTTTATGATTCACTGTTTCTCGTAACATAATGAATCATAAAAGATCGGAAAGCCCTCGCGAACGCAGCACGTTGGAAACGTCACAGACCACTTGCTGTCAAACTGCGATGAATGTTAAATAGCTTTCGTCACAAAACTACCATGGTTATGAAACCAGACTTCTAGCGAGATCAATATGATCTGATTGATTGATGATTCAATTCATTGGTTGATCATTGATTTAAATTAATTAATATGAATCGCCGAATCTAACGACCCATGCCACCATGAACTTCCGATTTACCTAAATGTTGTGTGATGAACTCACTAGAATTCCAGATTGTTATTTCCCTTTCATTCAGTTTCACGGTCTTTCATTTTTTGAGCGAATAAGAGGTTCTTGTATCGTAAAGTGTTTTAAATTAAATGACTCTGGAGAGGGAATTTGGCAAAATTGATTAAAATATTTATGTTAGAATTAGATAATTATTTTAAAAACATAGTATTGTATAGTACAATATATACAGTACAAAAACAACATACAATAGAATAACAAATGTGTATTATTTAACAAAAATATAGGATCCCGTCCCTCTAAAACAAGTGTTCGTCTGGATCCACCCGTGTTCCTTTTAGACATCTCTCTGGAAGTCGAGGTCACGAGGTTAATGCCGCATTGAATATTGCTGACAGGGCGGCAATTGATCGCCTTTTCAACATTTTCATGCACACGGTATTTATGCCGTCAATTCCAGGCGCTTTCTTAATTTTCAGACACTCAATTTCAAAGACTGTTTCAGATGGAGCAATACAATTAATGGGTAGTTTGTCGATAGGAAAAACGCGAGTTGACGAAATTTTCGATTTCTATGTTAAATTGCTTTCAAGGAACTTTTAAGGAGTTCCCCTAATACTGATGACTGATCCTCAACTGAGTACATTCGGTTCGTTCCTATTTTCAAGGGGGGGGGGGTCTTGTTTTTGTTTGGTTGGGCGCTTCGCCGATGACCAGGGGGGGACTCCATTTTGGATGAATTTCGCCTGCGTAATTATTGAAACTTGCAAAATGTTCTTCATCAAGTTGGATTTTAACTAGCCTTGTTAACTTATTTTCTTCCATTTTGACATCTGCATTCGAGTAACTTGCCACTAACGTCTCGTATTCTTATTTGATCTCATTGAATTTCGAATGTTTGCTGGGATCAGTTTAGAACTTGCCGAACGACGAGGTCGGGTTGCCTGTTTGGTGGTATCAATAGCAGCTCTAGAGAATGTATCAACTTGATCGTCAATGGCATGCGTATTACTGATTCTTTTTGGATATGCGTAATAGGATAGCATTAAATTAATAAACTTATTCCAATTTATGATTCCACTTACTTCATTGTCGAACTGGATTCTTTCGATTTGTGCGGATAACGATATTGGTACAGAGCAGTGATCAGAGTCGAGTTCCAATAAAGTCTTTTGAAAATTGACATTATTTGTAAATGCTATATCTAAGATATGCGGAATGATGTTTGGATTGGAATCTCGTTAGTTCATTTCAAGATAGTATAATGATGTTATATGCAGTTGCAAAATCTGATAGCTTCTGTCCTTGACACGATATTGAGTTACAACCCCACGCTGTATTTTAAGTATTGCAATCACCTAATAATAACGTTGGATTGCATCACTGACTATACGTCTGTACGATTTTTCCGGGGATGTTCTGTTAGGAGGTTTATATCCTCCACTAACAGCGAAAGTTGTACCATTAATTTCAATTTGTACTCCCACAGATTCAAAGTTTCTTGACATAGGTTCCGGAACTTACGCGTCTTTAACGTTCTTTGATATAAATATAGCTACATTGCCTGACGCTATTTGTCTACGATACGTGATGAAACCGGTATATGAATCTTTCATATGAAATGAAATGAAATGCGTTTTCGTGACACAAGCATATTAATGCGATGATGTTTCAGGAAATAGCTGAAACTATTTTCTTGTCTTTTTAGAACATTGCATTCCAGTTTAAGAGCTTATTTATCTCTAGAATAGTTCCCATTATTTATTATTGATCTATTGTCTCTACCATACTTTGGATTTGTGGAACGATTGCAGATACAACTTGGAAAACTATTGTTGGTATAAAGAAGAAAACATTGTTTGGCATTTTTAACTTTGCTGCTGTGAAGGGAGGGTGGTAAATGTGTACTGTGTTGCAGTGGCGTTAGCATTGTAGATTGTAAATTACAATGGTTATTAATTTACTGTCAATTGCTTTTTGCGAAGTTTTAATATTTCGTGACTGTATATATTTTTAATAGATACAACCTCTATAATTTGCTGCAAGGCAGTTAGCACATTGAGATGAGGCGTCTTAGGCATTTAGGCACCTGGATGATAGCAACACTTTGCTTGTGAATGACCGTATCTGTGACATTTTTTACATACTTTTACTCTGGAGTTTAACATTTGTTGCATTTTTATTTCACTATGTATAAGCCTGTTTAAAAATATATATTTTTAGAGCTTCATTATTGTTTTCTAAATCTACTGCACACGTTGAAATGGGCTTTGTTTCCTAATATAAAGTCTACAAAGTTTTAACATTGGTAGATTCAAACGAATAAAATCATTTTAATGTCTTTTTCTGTGTAGCTTGTAGGTACGTCCTTCAATATCACTGATAGGGGCTTTTGAGTTGGATCTCTGAACGAGTAGTATTGAATGTTTCGTTCATCACAAAATGTTCTGAACCTGAGATAGACTTCAATAGAAGTGAGCAATATTTTGACTGAACTTTTGTTAGATTTTGTAGTAAAGTCTGCTTTGGCTACATTTTCAAGTCACTTATTATATGTGAACATTTCTGGGAAGGATTTTCACTTGCACTGGTTCTAATTAGTTGTGCTCCATGCGATCACACTCAGTAGTTTCTAACAACTTATATCTAAACGAGGCTGGAATATTATAATCGATTTCCCTGCGCTCTTCCCGGAAGAATGTGCGCTTCTTACTGTCCGATGTGCTATCGGTGTCAAGGTGACTTACTTGTGGATTTTGCGACGTAGTAGAACCGGGAGTGCCCACGCCACTTGGACCGCTCGCGCGGTAACTGGTGGTCGTGGTTGAGGTACTCGCGGAGGTTGGCCATGGGGCTGTTGAGGCATTAGCTGCGGTGTCCGCGACTGCGTTTGTTCTTGTTGTGCGAGCTGCAGCAGTTTGCAACTGATGAATTTGCTATTGATATAGCTGCTGCTGCTGTTGTTGGATTTATTGTTGTAGATTAGCTATCGTGTAAATATCTGACTGTATTTACACGATCACTTTCACTGTCTACTTTGTTTAAAGTGTCCATAGCACTTCGAATAAGTTGCCCCGCTAAGGAGCCTGTGTTTACGGACATTCATAATAACTTGGCACTTAACTGATGCAGGAAAACCACAAAAACAATGTTTTAAAATAAACGTAGCCCGTGACGGCTGCGAGCCGACGATCGCCGCCTGAACGCTTGCCTTGGCAGAGGCGAAGTAAGCGCTGCCGGGCAGCGGGCGGGCGTGCGCCACCACTGCTGGGCCGAGACTCTCAGCTGAGCCTTTTATCTGACTTCACGGACCAAAAAGTGATTTGAATACCTGAATTAAAATAATATGAAAGAGGAAAGGCTGCCTAAAGTAGTGTATTACATTCTTGACGTACGGCAAAGTGATTTTATTTTTACTTCTTGTATCTTAAATAACAATTTCAGAACTCGTACGCAGAAATCTGTACTTTGTACTGTTTAGAAGCTTGCAAAGTAGCACTGTACAAGACGAGCACCGCAAAGTACTGAATGAAACATTTGGGCGAAATGAACAATCGTGGGCACGATGAGAATAATCCCTAGAGGGCGTAATTGAACATTTCGTTCTAAAAAGTAGTGAACAAAACCCGTACAAAAGTGTCTTTAGCATAATCAAATCAATATTACATATATATATTATATATATATATATATATATATATATATATACTATTATTTACATAAATAATTATTTCACAAGAATCTATTTGCAAAAATATTTTGAACATTTTGCAAAAATAGTAGTATAACTAAGCACTGCTTGGGCGGCGTGAAATATCAACACTATTTTGACTTGTACAATAAGAATCATATTTTAAAAAATTGAAATATTCATGAAGGTTAGTAATTACTGGTTAAAATGAAAACAACCGAGAAACCGTCCGAAAGAATATCACGAGATTATTAAAGTATGCGTTCACAGAATATATCAAAAGACAAGAACCTCGTTGTCGCAAAGCACTGAAAACAGACAAAGCCACATTTCCGTGAGTTCAACTCAATTTTCGAATACACAAATAGATAATATAATAATTTTAGTGAATTTATCTGCTTATTTGTTTATATTGTTTTCGAATGAGAGTGCTAATGTGTGTCCTGGTTCTCCAACAGCAAGCTCTACCACTGAAAATGAAGGCCATCCATGTGATAAACGTCAACGCCGTTGCCGAGGCCTGCTACGCCCTCGCTAAATCATTTATTGGAGAAGAATTGCAACAAATGGTGAGAGAGTTAATCCAAGTGTTAAGCAAGGGACATTTTATAAGGGTCAACTGCTGAATGATGTTAGCGACTTTCAGTTTACAGAGCATCTGCCCAACTATGGGCCCTAAAACACTGAATCCACTGATATTTTGAAACCAATTTCCCTGACTTTTCTCGCCTTCATTCTCAACGTTTCCTCTTGGCAATATTAGTAAAGTAGTGCACACTATTTAAATAATATACTAAACTAAAAAGTTAAAGCAAATACATCAACACAAATTCCACAGTACAAAACTGCTCTTTGTACACTCAGAAAAACCAACAATAAAAATTACTCATATTTTCAAACTGTCGAGTCGCGGCATTCTCATTGTATTTTAAAGTGACAACTCCTGATAGATTCTGGGTCAAACAAAGTAAAGGAAATTCGAATTTGAAAACTTTTGCTAAACTACTCCTATTCTTTTTAAAAGTGTACTACATGGTTTTTTAAACTGATTTTCCAAAATAGATTTCATTTTATAACAAATCTCCACATCAATATTGTACTTTTGCAATGTCATTTTTTTCAATTGTCGAAAATAAGAGTTCACCGAAAATGAGTCTAGCTCCATTTTCTTTGCCGTTCTTAGCTACATATGATAAAAAGATTTACAGAAAAAAATTGGAGCCGTTTTTGAGAAAATAATTGTTTTAAAAGTGCCTACTTTTCACGCAAAAACTACTCAATTTTCGAAAAATCGTACATGACCTTATTTCAATAAAAGTTGTTGATGAACATATTTCACGAAGGAAAATTTTTTATCTTCAGTATTGTAATACCTGACGTTCTACTTACCGACTTTTCGAGATCAACTTTCCCCAGTTTTTCAGAAAATAACCTGACTGAAATAGCTTTGAAGCGATTTGCTGTATCAAAATGCAGTTTTCACTCAATACCTAATCATGGGGAAAGTAACTTCTCGTAGACATATTGTTCATTTTCTTAATTTTGGAGAAATTTAATCGTCTTTTAATTTTTATAGATCCAAATAATGTTTGTGTGTGTCTACGATCAGATTAATGTCATGAGGGTCCCAAATAGTATTAAAATATTAACATATATAATCAAAAAATATTAAAATAAATCACACCCTTTGGAACTTAAATTTCGAAATTAATGTTTTACGTACCTATGGAGAAATATATTTTTTTCTTTAAAAAATAATTGATAGCCCCTAACCAATTAATACTCAATTGTAGGTCGAAAATGTGCATCACCATAACTCTTCATATTATTACTTAATACTTACGGGGTTGCCATATGCCATATGTTTCTGTATGCCAAAGGATAGTGCAATGTACTAAATATTTTCAGAAAACATTTGATCAGTGAGAGAAAAAAATACCCGTGACCGTAATTTACATAGAAGAGAAATGCGACTTTTTTCTGATAGACAAGAATGGGTTAGAATTTAATGAATTCCTACTTGGCATTGGGCTTTAGCTTATGAGAGAAATAATTACATTTAAAACGCGGAATTACGAAGTGCGGAATCTTATCACGAGTGCGCAAGTGTTCTTCACGTTTTTGTTTCGATCTGAGTGTGGGGGAGGTCCCTTTTGTCTGGATTGTAATAATTAAATAATACTTAATTGAGATAAAAGTTCACAAGTGTCCAATCTTCCAGTTTTGATATTTTAAATTTCCTTTCATTAGATTAATTATTTTTCAAAATCTTAAAAGAGATCAATACTGTCATTTTTAGTTACTCAATTATGATTAAGTAACATTTAGTACTTTCATTAAGAAAGTTAGTAACATCAAAGAGTCAATATTATTTCTTTCAATTTTCTGTAATTGTTTGCAGTTACAATTTCATTCAGGCAAAATGGAGAAATTCTATGAAGCCATTCCAAAGGACTCTCTTCCAACGGAGTTTGGCGGCACTCTAGGAAGTCTGGCGGAGTTTCATGGTGAGTAATACATAAGTATATGTAACATAACGACCCAAATTGCTCGAAAGAACTTAATTTCGAGTGGTCGATTGATCCCTTATCTATTTAAATGAATGCCATATGAAAAGTTCGGAATATGAACATATATAAAAATTGCCCCGAAGCATTATGGACCAATATGTGGAATTTGTTTGTAACCAAGAAAAAACTAACTTCATCGATTTTAGATGTTTTTCACGATAATTGTTATATTTTTGTTTTATAGCAATACCAAAATGAACAAAACTACATGCATTTTGTATTGCAAAATAAAATTTTGAAGGGTAAATTTTATTGAATCCTCTATCGATTTCCATATCGATTAAGATATAATTTTAATGTATAGTTAGAAATCGATAGAAGACAGACAGACAAAGAGACAGAGTCAGAGAGACCGAGACAAGGACAGAGAGAGAAGGGGAGATGGAGAGGGAGAGAGAGAGAGAGAAAGAGACGGAGACAAGGATTGAATATGAAAAAACCGCGCAACGCCTAGTATTTTGCTAGTAAGAATATAAGTATTAAGTATGTATAGTGCATGTGCCGTTTTCAAAATTGAATTTAACATCCATCTGCAGAATCTCATTTTTGAAGTCTCATTGTGATTTCTGTTAGAAACTTCTGTGTTGAGAAAAAACAATTCGAAAAAAACACTAACATAAAATAGAAAATGTATATTATTGTAAAGAGATGAAATTTAATATAAAAATCAATAAATTATAAACTCTAGTTTATAGAAATAATTTAAAAATAATTTAATGACTGCAAACAAGGTACGCTTTATAACGAGGGTGCTTTCAGTCATTTGCATAGTCTCTGGAGTCCCTATCTCCTCTAGAGCTCCTATATCTAGAGGCTCTACCCTCCTCCAGTTATTCCTACTCTCTACTGACATGACAGTTGAAATGTTTTCCACGCCATATTTTCATGTGCGAAACAGTTCAAACTATGCCCTACATTTCAGACGACTGGTCCATGTCAAATTCCAGAAACATATGGCAATGTCTTGATAGATCACTCACTTTCATTTCAGAGTTAGACGAGGTAAAGAGAAACATAATTCAAAGTTGGTGTACTGTCCCTGCTATAACATGTCGAAGAGAAGGGTATTAATGTCGTAATTATCAGTCAAGAGTTCCTTTTCTTCAAAACTATACGTTTTCAAATACCCTTTAAATCAAATTTAAAAGATGTACTATTGAATTTTCCTTTTTCAGAAACGATGGCCGATAAATTGAAAGAGAGGAACGAATGGCTTCAACAACTTTCTCAGAAAACTGTACAAGATAATAAAAGACCTGGCGACGCCAAAAGTGCAGGGGATGTTTTTGGCTTGGAGGGTTCCTTTAAAAAGTTAGACATAGACTGATCCTTCGTATTATTTGTTCTTATAGATAATAATCCTGTATGTAATTGTATTATATTTTTGTATATTAATGAAGGTGGAAGTGTCAACAAACAAAAGAAAAATAAATAAAGAAAATTCTTATATTTATCTTTATTTGATATCCTTAAAACACGAGACGAAAATCTTCACGTTTAAATGAAAATAACAAGAATACCACCAAAATACATGCGAAAAGTTAGTAATCAGTAAAAAAATTATTCTAAATACGTTTTACTAGATTTTTTATCGAGAATAGATTCAGACCTCCGTGAAGTTGACCGGGAAATATCTGGGAATTTCAACTCAACTTGGTAGATTGTATGCTCAGGTTTGAGTACCAAAAATTTTCATTTACCCATCCACAGAGAAAAAAGACGCGAAAAAAATTTCGGGCCAACTTCACGCAAGCTGGAAAAAATCTGGAATTTGATCCAAACATGCTACATCATTTGCCTTCATCTTTTCCCAGATTTGCCAACCAAAACTTTTCGCTTGCCCACTCCCAAAAAATGTTAGACGCGAAACATGTTTTCTGGCCAAATTCTTCTAATTCCATTTCTTTTCCTGAGCAAACGAAAATCTTTTTTAGGAAAACGACAACACATTTTTACGAAATAGTACGCACAAAATCATAATTGTTCTTTCAGGGTAGTTGAACCGACCGATCATATGAGCGAGTATGCGTATGTGCGGTTGCATCCCTCGCGGCTAGGCCGCTTCCCGAGCACCAACCGAGGCGTACGACGTGTCATTCGACGCATCTCGGTCACCAGATGGGGAACTCATATTTAGTTTTTGGATCCGGTCAGAAAATGCATAGAAGTTTCCAAAAACGTGTTTTTGCATGTTTAAGGACTGCGATCTTTGTGATAATGCCAGGAGTTAAACCAACGACTCCTAAATCGATCTACGTAGGTGGCGTTGATTAAACACCAGTACCCAAACGTATTTTTCGCACACGTCAAAATTTTCTTTCAAGACGTTGGCAACACGGATGTTAGCATCTTTAAGCGAACAATTGAATTACTAAGTAAATCGCGCTGTAGATTTATTTCAATTTATATTCAAATTATCGTATTTTTAAACATAAATTTGCATAAACCTTCGAAAAGTAATGCCTCAGAACTTATTAATCTTGACGAAATTCAAGTGAATACGTAGAAAACCAAACTGTCAAATGCTACAGCGTGAATGAACGATGTGCGCGACTTCTCGCACGCTCTTACATAACTGTGCAAATACCAATTTCAAATGAATGTTACCCACAACTTATTCTTATTAAACTTAACTAACAGCTTTTTAACATTAACATACAAAACAGACGGGTTGTAATGTCATATTCACACGCACCACTAGATTCGCATACAAAATAATAAAACAATTGCAGAAGTAGAAGTGAACACAAATTAGACTGAGTTAATATCTTCAAAAATTAGGGGAGACAAAAAAAGGAGTGTTAAGGAAGGGGAAGAATCAAATACAGTTGTAAAAGATGTTGCAACAGAATTTTTGGAACTATCTAGGAGTGATCTGCATTTTTTCATTTAGCATTTGTGCTCATTCAAATGTGCTATGTGCATTTTTGTGCATATTGGCAAAAAACGAAAAAAAATTAACTGTACTAATATTTAATTACGACGTTTATAATTTTAAAATTGCAATAAAACCAGTTCATATCACGTATGGAAATAACATACTACAAGACCATTGGGAGTTGGAAACTTTTGAACTGGAGCATAACATTATCAGCTACTACGATTCATTGGTAAGTCCAATGCCTGGTACTGAAAAAACACATTTGAACAAAGCTGGGCATGTAAGAAATTTTCAATATATGAAACAATTTTTATACAGTTTACATCGTCGGCGACGCCTCATTTTACTAGTTAATAGTATTTTGCATCTGGTCAGCGTTTCATATTCCATTACTCGTGTATATTTGAACTAAAAAACGATTTATTTGTAAAATATTGTTAAAAAGTATTTTTTAAAATAAATTACTATTGTAATCCACGCGACCACTTGGGTTGAAGTTTTGATCACGACTAATGAAGGGCATTAAGGAAACAGTTTAATAGTGATTTTGGGAGTGTTCAAACTCGCCTGAAACCGGTTTTCGGTTTCATATCTTCGTATTTTCTATAATTCTACTGTAATCAACTGATTAATACGATGACAGAATTTTATTTGCTATTAGTAAAATTTCATTAAGTTAAATTAATAAGGTATAGATCAGAAACCATATATTACTTGCCATCAGAAATTACTTTTGTAGTTCCGGTCAACTGGAACCTGGCAATTAATTCACGTGGGAAAGTATTAATATAGTTTCCTAAATAATGTACCTTAATTTCAAGTCTTACAAATAATAAAAAGTAATACACTAATAATAAACTAAAAAATCATATTAATAAATTAAGTAGAGATATAGCAAAATAGTAAAAAATAACGATTATTCTCCCTCTAAAAAATTGCATGATTTAGAAAACTCTTAAAATATTTTTAAACTGTTTCCCCGTTGTTTTTATCATTTTAGTTCTAAAGGACGCACTACTTTTTTTTGCGGACACCCTAATGTACCTGCCAAACTTCGGTGCACGATGCCTACCAATTATGGTTAAATGTAACGTACATGTATATAACTTTATTACATGATATTTCCCACAACAAGTTCATTGGCAAAATATTATCTAAACATGCTGTATAAGTTATGAACGATTATGTATGTGTGTG